ATGACCTGGATGACTGAGAACCTTCACAGACATATTTTAAATAGATTCATCAGCCGCTGTAGGCATTTTGGCTTTTCATGGTAAATTTATACAAACAGGAATTACTTTGTCTTTTTACACTGACACTATAGAAAGGCTTTTGTTGTCAGACAATCGAGCTGAAATGGCAGTGTGTTTTATAAGCAGATTTTCTACGGTTAGTTAAACGACTACCCAACCTTGTTGCATTGTTTCTAACAACTGAGCATTGTTGGCTGTTTCAGACTGTAAGACGCTGTGTATCTCAAGAAATGGGGAGATGGACTGCTTTTTGTCTGTTTTTGAGGGTGGGGATAAAGAGTTTCACACTATGTTTCACCAAATTAAAAACAAATCCCGCAAAGCTGCTTCTAACACAAACATTTCTTTCAGACCAGTGTCTAAAAAGCACCATTAAAAAAATGATCCTGCATTTACAACAGTAACTCCTTTAAAAAAAGCACAAGTCAAAAGAAACTGTGTAGACGTTCGTGTGATGATCATTCCATCTCAGAGCAGCACTCTGTTTTTACAACGAAATCGAAGCGGACCTTAAGTTTTGCTTTTGTTTTGTTTGTTTGTTTTTCGGGAATATTCCACATTTAACTTTGATGACTTTCAGTCTCATTTTGCTCAACACAGCCTGCGACAGACTGGTGGCCTGTCCAGGGTTTACTCTATGATAGCTCGGATAGGCTCCAGACCACCGGCGACCCCGACAAGCATAAGTAGAAGAGAATGGATGGACCTTTTTTTTAACATCAGTCTCCAGTTGAACTAATCTGACATTTCACGTGAAGTAACATTAAGAGAGAAACAGTTGCCTGTTAAACACAGCAAATCTCATCAGCTGCACTCACCTGCATTCCAGTTTTTTGTTGAGAGAAAAAAAAAAACTCCTCTTTTTCTTCTTTAGATACGGAGATTGACCTGTCTGCAGCTCTAATTTTACTTTCACTAACTTCCACTTTCATTTCAGTAATTTGATGTTGAATCCTTATTGCTCCGCCTCTTCGCGTTTGTCTTCTTCTTCCTGCTTCAGGCGGGTTTGACACGTGGAGGGCGTTTTGCTGCCCTCCTCAGGTGCTTCGAAGTATTTCGAAGCATGTGAGGAGAAATCCTATAGTCCATAATCTATAGAATTGTCTAGTACGTCGCAAAAAGTTGAATAAAGAAGCTATGGTTTCCAATTAGTCCAAGCTCAGTATTGTGACGCTTACAGTTTTCTCATAGCTCAATTCTAGCAGAAAAGTTATTCTCACCACTCTTAAAGCAGTTCTTTAAACAGTAGCATAACAAAACACTGAGACATCTGTGTGAAAGACACTACAATAATCAAAACCTTTTTCACAATTGTGAAAACATGAATAGTCATGCAATCACTTCAACGCTGTAATTAATGAATAAAAACATTTCACCACCTTTTAAAGACTGAGCATTCAAAATGTTTAGTTTTTTTTCCCTCAAAACCATTTGCATCAGAAAACAGACAAAGCACCAACTACTGTGTAGTCCACCAACGTCACGCTACATACATTCAGCAACCAGTTGATCAGGTACGCCTGCTCCAGTGTTTGTCACATTATTTCAAATCAGTGACTTTCAACTAAAAGCAATTATGAATCTAGACATGGTCAAGATACCTGCTGAAGTTCAAACCGAGTGTCAGAATGAGGAAGAAAGTTGACTTACAAGGAATGGTCTAAAGTGAGAAAATATCCAGTGAGCAGCAGTTCTCCGGGTTAAAATACCTTGTTGATGTCAGAGGACAATGGCAGAATACTCTGAGCTGATAGGAAAGCAACAGCAACTCAAATAACCACTCATTACAAATAAGCTGTGAAGAAGAGCATCTCTGAAAGGATCACATCTCACCTTGAACCAATTTGCCTGCAGTAACAGTAAATCACGCTAAGGGCCACACCTGTCAGATAAGAACAGGAAACTGAGGCTACATTTTGCACTCATCAAAATTAGACAACAGAACACTGAAAAAAGCTGCCCAGTTGATTATCATTGGGATGCGCTTAAAAGAGAGATTTGGATGAGCAGCTCTGACACAAAACTAAAAGTATGTTTTTCATTTTCAAGTAAACCGCAGACTGTGTTATTGTATTGGATCTTTCATACATATCTAAAAGAAGTTTGAAGTAATTTGATTAAAAACACTAATACAATGCTTGACAGTATTCAGGAAAGTGAGCAATCTAGATTTGGGACTGACTTTTGGAAAATTTTTGCTGTGAGAATTGGGCCAAAGAGAACAGGAAGAAAAATTGTAAATGCTGCCCGTGCTTCTGTGAACTATGAAGCAGATTATTTGTTTTTTCGGTTTTTGTTGTTGTTGTTTTTGTATCAAAAGCTAAATTATTGTTGAATAGTTTAAACTTTTTACTTAAGCTAATCATTTAAATGCAGCATTTTCTGCAGCAAGCATTGATTTTATCACATACTATAACAGATTTACAGAATAACTAGAGGTTATGATCTGAATAAAGAAGAGATATAGCATTTGAACTACTGACTCTCAAAGTATAACCTGACGTTCTAAAGAGACCAAAGCCAACAATGAATCAGTTATATTAATATGTTGTTGGATTGGTCTTCTGCTATTTCTACTCAGTAAGTTTAAATTGGTTTAAGTTAGATTAAGGGCTGCAGTGAGTGTAGTCAGCCTATTCAAAAGCAAAGACGAATGCAGTCGTAACCCCAGCAAAGTCTTTACAGAGGGCCATGAGTGCCAAAATGAATCAAACAAATACATTATTAAATAATTTATGAAATGTGTCAGTAATAATTACAATTTAAATGGCATCATAGTCCCTGCACTGTCAGGATTTATTACATGCCATGTGAGCACAAGCAGTATAATGTTTTCATCTCACCAGACCTCAGTTTCCTGTTAAATAGAGAATCACGTGTATCAGTTTCCCACAGTTCAGTACAACAGTCTGCAACTTCAGAGACACTCTTAGATCTTTTCTTCAGAAACCCAAGACCCAGCTGAAACCAGCAACGCATCTGAAAATCATGGAAATGCGCTATAGGAATCCAGAAGAAATACCAGGTAATCACAGAGTGTTGAAAAAGGTGCAAAGATCAGAAAGCCTAATGATGACCAAACCCTTAAGTTTAATAACATTTATTCTTTATTATTTTTTGTATTAAGTTTATGCTGTTACAGTATTGTAATATTTTTAATTTAAACCTCACAAACTAACGCATACTATAATTAAAAAAAAAGAAAAGAAATCATGTAAAACAGCTACATGCAGGTGTTTCAGTTGACAAAATTACAAATGTTTTTTTAAATTTACTTTTGTGAATCTAGTTTTAGGTTTTAGTTTATTTTAGTTAGCATAATAATCTTCATTTGTGGTCACGGCTTAAAAAGAAAAACGCAAATTTCAAAAAGCAGTCACTGCAGACAATATTACAAGAAAGTTACAATGAGAAATTCCCCTTTTAGTATCATTATTCAGTATTTTTAGTCAAAATCAGTCTGTGAAATAGGTATAAACCCTTTATAACTGCATACATTTTAAATTCTCAAGACAGAAAAGCCAATACATAACATCGACCTTTCAACTTTGAAGATGTATTTCCCAAACAGCTCATATATGAGCATACTAAGTAAAGCCATGCAAAACTTTTTACCTTCATACTATAAAATGTGCTCAAATTATAGCTCTTGAAAGTACGGGTGGGTAGGTTGAAATTTAGTGGTTTTAATTTTTCCTTCATTTTTGAGCCCCCAAAACATTTTAAGTACAGGAAATAGACAAATTCCATTTTTCTAAAATGGAAACAAATTTAAACTCTGTTAAAAAATGTAACCAAATAAATTTTGGCCAGCTTTGCTACAATACCTACAGCGAAATTAGCTCAAATTTCAGTTCATTAAGTAAGACCAATAACTCGATTATAAAAAAAATTCTCACCTTCCAAGGAGACAAACTAAAAATGCCTTCTCCTTTTATTTTACATTACTGTATTTAGTTGTATTTAACTATTTCAATATTTTTGCATTTAAGAAAATGTTTTCTTTTAATTTTTTTTATTTTAACATGTAAATACAATGAAAGGGTTTAGTGGGGGCCCAGCAATCCTGGCAAGGATATGCGGAAGAGAATGGATGGATGGGTTTAGTGGGTTTTTTTGTATGTACTGATCATTAATGAGACAAAATGTATTACTTACCCAGTTACTTAATCAATACATAGTCAATAGCAGCAGCCCTAAATTAAGTTGAACATCTGTCATGTTGCTCTTAGCTGATTTGTTTACTGCACAACAAACTTCTTAAAGTATGTTTAAAAAGAAAAATGACACTCTCGGAGTGGTTCGTGTTAAATGTGCTAAGTTTTTTTTTTTTGTTGTGACAGTAAATGTTTGCAGTACCAAATTGCTTTGACAAAGATAAATACTGTTGTGTATTGAAGACAATACTCTTCAGGCGCTGATTGAAAAACAGATGTTTTTTTTTTTCTACTTTGTAAATTAAAAGAGCAGTTGCTAGTGTCACCGTTGCTATTAGTCACCAAATATGAGGTTGTTAATGTCTTATGTTTGCACACATGTGAAAAAATACTGACTTCTAGCCCCAGGTACTACATTTGTGAAGAAAAGTTCCTGCAGAGGTGCTGTGATTCTTCTGGGTGTGCTGTGTCTTCTTCTCCTCACTGGCCTCATAATTCTGGCTTTTCCTTGTGAGTACAGCAGCTAGATAGCATGCTGATGATGTCCTAAATGGGTGTTCATTAATAGAGCTTGTTCATTTAATGTTCACATGCCCAACATAGTCACCCAAGACAAATCTGAGTGGGAAGAGGAGGTGGGCAGACAGAGAGCATTACAGATCAGTTACAACAACTTGAAAACAGAACAAGACCAGTTACAGAAAAACTACGACAGTGTGGTTCAAGACAGAGTCCAGCTCCAGAAAAAAGTTGAAGCCTTGACCAAAGAAAAAGATGATCTTCAGAAAAAGCTTCAAGGTAATTATTCCTTTATTTCATTCAAAGAAAATCTGTTCTTGGGTCTAGCCTTTATTCTGATGATTCAATAATAAACCAATAGTTTATAAATTGCAACAAACGAAACGTGGTAGATTTAGCACAGACCCTGCCTAAAAGACATCATAAATAAATATCATAGTTAAATGTGATTGCAAAATGTTTTAAATTCACATTTTTCAGTTTGTTTCTTTGTTTGTTTTTACT